AGTTCAGCAAGGTGTAAGGTAAGGTAGGTAAGGTAGGTAGGTAGGTAAGGTAAGGTAACCAACCTGCTGAGGTACCTTGTGGGTTAGCAGCGACGGGAGACAACAAAAGTCAAGTGGCCTCTATGCTGTAGGACTGCTCATGATACTATTTGATTCATACAAATGTAAAACATTTCAAGCCGAATGACAGATGAAGAAGAAAGGCCGATTGTTGCTACTCATTCTACCAGTATACCGGAACCTACATACCTACTTGGATGGTACCTTATTGGCTGACTTCCGTTTTACCTTGGGCACCTCACCTTAGGTAAGTACCCAGGCACGTAGGTAAGCGTGGTAAGGTGGTAGGCACGTAAGGTAAGGTGAGGTAAGGTAAGGTAGCTGTCGCCGATGTTGCCAAGGGAGATGTGACGTCTGACGTTGTATCCGTACTCAAGCTGTCAAAACGGAAAGAAAGAAGAGGGAGAACTGGAGAAAGTGGAAAAGGATACCTAGCAAAATTGTGCAAGTGAGGTAAGGTGGGCGGGTGTACGAGGCCGAGAATCAAGGCAGACAGGGTCCAACAGAGGGAAATCGGATCCCAGTGTGGAGAGGCCGGTAAGGTGCAGTACCTTAGGCGAGTGTGCGGCGCGAGGTTACCTTGGATTGTTTCCAATGGGTAAGGTAGAAGCATCGGGCGGTTAAGTTATGGGAAGAAGAAAGGGTACCTCAATCGGCTGGTTGTTTGGGCATCTGGGCATTGTACCTTTTCCAAGGGGATTTACTGTGTACTGTGGTAGTTATCCGTTGGGTACCTTACCTCACCTTTTACCTTTGGGGGCGGTTTGCTGAGGTGGATGAGGTGGATGAAGTCTGGACCGAAATCGCTGGCTGCACCGGCCCGGCTTGCTTCTTGGCCTCAGATCTACGCTCTTGGGACCTGGAAGGCACTCCCAGTCTGCAAGGCAGGAGATGACCTGAATGCAAGTGGACTCGTCTTTCCTTCCCTTGGATACTGAGTAAGGTAGGGTGCAAAACCTTAAGGGAAGGAGACTCCTGTGGTTTCTTTTTACTGGATTCGTAATAACTCATGAGAAGTGCCCGCCGCGTCTCGACAACCTCCTTCCTTTGTACATCAGTGGAAGTCACCATGGTCCACGGCACCTTCCAATGTTTTCTTGACGCCAATGAATGAGAGAGGAAGGGGCTGGAGACTACGGAGCACGGAGGGGCAAGAGGTTGTCGTGGAAGGTGGAGCCCATCTGCAGCCTACCTTAGGTGCGTGCCTGCCAACCCAAGGTACCTTAAGGTGGTAAGGAACATACCATCGGCAAGACCCCTCCTTTCCCCGACTTCCAAGATGCACTTGAGCCATGAGGCCCTCCTCACCCTTATTAGCTAAGCACGCCTGTCCATCATGAGGGATCGACCGGTTTGATGAGAAATTGATGAGGTGAGAGCTGAAAACCCTGCTTCCGGTCTTTCCGCAACCAGTCACTGCCATTTACTCACGGTTACTGATGTTATTGCTAACTGTCACTCGATTTGGTACAAGTATGTCGTTACTTAGTTCATGTCCCTCCCTTTTGACGTCCATCAACACCACGAACGCTTTTGGTCATCAACACTTATGTGCCCCCTATTCAGCCTCCAATCCGGCACTTGGACGACTCATCGCTGCTATGTCTCATGTCTCATCCAATCCACCATGACCCCCGCGGCACCCCTTGCCGTCTATTGCTTCCTGGTCCCGAACCAACGCGGCAAGTGCCTCCCAAAGCTCCCGACGGGCATCTCCCACCTAAATCCATGAATCTTGCGCCTAGAGCTTCATGCGCACGACATCTCGCAACACCCCGTCCTGCAAAGCTATGATGCCTCACGGGCTTGAGCGCCTGTTGCGCCCAATGTATTCGTACCGCTCTCTGCTACTGCCTTAGTCTAAGACTCCATGGTGGTACTACCAAAGATGGAGCCCGCCTTCGCATCTACCCTATGCCTATGCCTATGCCTATGCTGCTCCATGTGTCAATCGCTAACGCCATGCGATGCGACTCAACAACGGATCCTCTCCAGACAATCGTCTTTCATCATTCATGCTCGCGAGCCTCCGACCATGTCATCGACCTACAGGAGGAGTGCTACCTAGGTTGGTTGAATTACACGGCACGTCTCAGCCCGGGTTTGTTTCCCTGCAGGCACTCTAGGTACGACTAACAAAGGAACGCCAAGGTGGTTTGCATGTGCTGGCTGGGCTAGACACTGCAAAACGTCATGTACAAATTGCAATATACACACGATATCTGAACAATTTGTGCTCTATGCTGCGTAGGCTTGCCTGTGGCGGTGTCCAGCGGATTGACTCGACGCAAGAGTCCGAGACAGGCACGCGCTGGGAAAACGGCTTCGTTCCGTGGGGTGCCTCACGAGCTGCCGCCATGGAGGCACCCTCTACATCTCCAAAAAGCCCCGACCGCCTGCCGCCTTATCTCTGTAACCAATGCCATGACACTGTCGCGTGATTCTCTGAGACACCCATCCCACCATGTTGGCGGCGGTGAGCACCTACATCAAAACGCCAACTGCACCCCACGTCGCACAATGGCTGGCGCTTCAGCCGCCAACATCTTCTCATCGATGCCATTCCCGCATCTGCCATGGTGGTCTACTTACCGCAAGAGTGTCCTAGTCATGTAATCTCGAGATGTTGGATGGCCGAGACTGGCCTGAAATAGCATGCGTGAAGCGAGAGGAAGTTGGATCCAACAGAGAAGTCAGATATGGAGGTTTTCAAAGCCTCGAATACGTCGAGGCGAGGTCAGGAGCCATATCGCTAGCACGTCAACTCATAACTTGAAGTGAGTACAACTAACTAAATGTACTCATGTCGCGAGTACCTTACCAGTCATGCATGGAATGACAGTGTCATACGGGGCCCAGGTTATATCTCAAAAGCGCACACCCAAGGAAATCTTTCCTCGGCTTAAGCTAGGTTTGTGATTTACAGGACAATTACGGATAGTTTAGGCCATAAGGAGTTTACGACAGATTCAACGATTGCAAGCTCTTGGCAGAGCGGGAGTCGCATCCTATCCATGTCACTGGTTTGGCTCTGTTACGTCAGCAGTGTCGGCGATGAGGAAGCCGACCACCGACTGAGGAAGCCCAGGTCCAATAGGCGGGCGGGAAGAAGTCCAAGCTCCAGTACCTGAAGTTCCCAGTGGAAAAGTTCACGATTTCGTCAATCGTATCCATTGCGACGTCCTGGCTCTAGTGCAAGTCATCCCTATGGCTGGTGGCCGCAATACCAAGTCTTCAGGCCCTGTGCCTCCGTCGCGAACGCTGGTTCTCGACAACGGCGCGTCGACCATCAAAGCAGGCTTCGTTTCCGACGACCACACTGACGAGCCTCGAGTAATACCAAACTGCATCGCCAGAGACAGGGCGAGAAAGGTCTACGTCGCATCCGACCTCGAAAAATGCCATGATTTTGGCGAAGTTCAATTCCGGCGACCGGTAGAAAAGGGGTACATTGTCAATTGGGAAGCTCAAAAGGAGATTTGGGACCACGAGTTCTTCGACGACAAGGCGCCGCAAAAGTGCGATCCTTCCGAGACCAGACTGCTCCTTGCAGAACAACCCAATTCGTTGCCTATTCTACAGGCCAACTGTGATCAGGTAATCTTTGAGGAATATCAATTTGCCAGTTATTATCGTGGTATTGGTATGTGGTTTTAGCCTCTTGCACGTCTCGTCGACTTAGCTGACCTTTATCTTCCTAGGGGCCTCCTTCAACGCGTACCACGATATCCAAGGTATCCTTCAGACCCCCCGAGACCCGAATTCGGTGCCCCAAATTCCGGCTGAAGCTGTACTGCTCATCGACTCTGGCTACTCCAACACTATTGTCATGCCTCTTCTCAACGGCAAGCCCCTTCACTCCGCTGTTCGAAGACTGGACGTCGGCGGGAAGCTCATGACAAATTACTTGACGCGTTTACTCTCTCTGCGATACTACGACATGCGAAACGACACATACATCGTCAATGAGATCAAGGAACAGGCAAGCTATGTCTCACTCGACTTCAATGGCGACCTCGAGAAGACCTGGAAGGGTACGAGGGGCGAGAAGAGGGAGCCGTACGTGACGGGAGCCGGCATTGCCAAAGACTACATACTGCCCGACTTCCACACCAAGACGAAGGGCGTCGTCCGAGACTACGACCCTGCTATGCACACAAAAGCAAGAAAGATGGCAGCACGCGCCGCTGACAACGACGAAGACATACTCACGCTTCGAAACGAACGCTTTTCAGTTCCCGAACTACTCTTTCAGCCTTCCGACATTGGACTCCGACAACCCGGCCTCGCGGACGTCATCATGCAGTCTCTTTCCGAATTGCCAATTGGGCTTTGGCCGGGGCTCTTGGCTAACATCGTTGTCGTTGGCGGCAACGCCTTGTTTGCTGGCTTTATCCAGCGGCTGGAGAAGGAGCTTGTCAAGAGAGTTCCCGATGCCTGTATTGTGAGGGTCGCGCATCCCGTCGACCCTATCACAAGCACCTGGCATGGCGGTGCCGAACTGGCCAAACACTCCGATATTCATAAGCTGTCTGCCACTAAACAAGAGTATGAAGAGTACGGCGGCGCATGGGTTGCTCGCAAATTCGGCTCTGGAAACACTGGTGTCTGAACCTTCACTATTCCAAGCACCAACTAGAGCGGTTGGTCTATCAAACAGCCCTAGAATCATCACATCCCCGTATGCCCTGTGGGCGTACATCGCAGGTCTATGGAAACCAAAAACAGCCTCCATCCCGGCTTCTACACAGTCGAATATTTCTTGACTATACCAAACAGACTGCTCCACGATGCCATCTGCCCCGGGTATTCATATTTCGAGCTTTTGTCGATACGTTTTGGCCGAACAAGTTCCAACAACATGGAAAGTCTTTACAGCCATTAGTATCGACCACCCCTTTTGTCTATATCGGTACGGCTGTGGGCATACTATAGACAACCTACTTCGAGCCAGTAGCTTCGCACCGTTTCAGGCATTCTGCGGTGCCAACCGCAGCACCAGTCCCGACAGCCGGGATATCTCGTCGTAGCTGTGCAAACTTTGCTGACAGCGGGTTTCCTCCCAACGCTGCTGCCACTACACTTGGAGGAAGATCGAAGAGTCCATTGGCGACATTATGGGTGCCGGCGTCTTCTGAGCTCAGAGCCGAGATCAGAGTAGCATTATCGCACCCTGGAGTGGTGAGCATGGGACAAGATATGGAGGCTCGTAACGAAGCTCACCTGTGTTTTGCATCGTGTGCAGACTGCCTTGGGGAAAGATTGTCATCATTCCGGGCGCCAACGTTGTCTTCACCATCCGAGCCCCGTTCTCCAGCGTCATATAGGTCTCGGTAGTCCCCTCGACAGAAACCACATAGTTGGAAGCACGAGCGTGGTAATGCGGCGGCAGCATAGCGCAGGGACCAAGACTGATCCAAGCCATGGTCATACCATTGCCAACCGTTGCTGGGAAAGTTGCGGCATTGGCGTTGACGACGCCCCCGGGGCTGTTGGTGTGGAATTCATGGGCGAAGTAGTTAAATGTCCAGTCTTTATCTTCTGGTAGAATATTAAGCTTATCAAGTTCTGTTGGACTTGTTCGAAGCGATCGAACACGATCTGGGTAAAGTGTGTCGTCTGTGGCGTTAATGAAGGCCGCAAATAGACACAGTGACAAGAGAAGCCGGGTTGGCGACGGGGCGGAAACGGCCATGTTGGACGAGGTGGATACGGTTAAGGCGTCCAGAAGGCGTCCAAGTATGTCTTAAAGATGCCGTTTCGAGATCGATCGTCCTCCCTCCGTCGACCCAGGACAAGGCGAACTTATACTAGCTCGTGAGGCTCAATTCAGTGGCCAGGTAGGACGCATAGATCCTTGGAAGTCACCACGAGATCTCAGGGAGTGCCATGGTAACGGAGCAGTCTCCGCTTGAAGTATAGGCCAATAGGACATAGCAAAAAGGCACAGAAAGCCATCTGCTGGGATTTCCATCTAACTTTCTCGAGGCCAATGCCGTTATCCTGGGTATGCGATCACGAGTATCTCCTCACGCAGCGCACGATCGACATACGACGTACATATCGTCTGACAAGAGAATGGAGGGAGACGAGGCAGGATCTCGGGAATAGGAGGACCCTGACAAAGCACAGAAACCCTGAATATTTTGTGCTAGGGGACGGTGCGACTTACCACGTCCTCTCGCAGCTGGTAAATGCTTGCACCTGTGACAGTCAGGGCAAAACTGTCCAACCGAACCGGCCAGGACGGAGACAGCGACTCTGGCTACAACGGGTACTCGAACAAAGGATCTCCTCGGGCTTGGCATGTCAATACAAGGACTAATGACAATCTCATTCCTGTCGAGAGCTTCCAATCGTCCCTACAGTCTTTTCTGCCTGCGTTTTCAGGTCATCACTGGAAATATGCTATGAACAAAGAGTTTCAACTTGGCATGTGACTTGAATTGTCCAGAGGGTCGTCCCAGACGACAAAGTTGCGCCCGAGGAAGAGAGGAGAGAAAGCGAGGCACTGTTGTATTTGTCCAAGTAAGCTCGTGATACCGCCACTCCCCAGCTTGTCTATCTCGTACCGCAAGCTTTCCCCTACGTAATTATAAGCTACTCGATAAGGCCCTGCTTCCACAGTATCGTATAGCTCTATCCTTTCACTTGGTCATTGGACTATCTCATTTCATTGGATGATACGGAGAGAAGGGTCTTGACCTTTGCGCGCGTTAAAGTGTGGCTCCTAGAGAGCCTCATAGTCGAGGTGACGGCCGAGGTCGGAACCTACCTTGAAGCTATCAGCCCAGGCACATGGCAGGCGTTCAGCATCGCACTAGGACCTGTATACCTTCACTAAACTAATCTGGAAGCTTCCACGGATGGGCCGAGGTTTGTGGCTCGTGACGACGAATGAATTTCGAGGCAAACTGTCATGCAAAATGCCTGTGAAACAGACCTGTTTATTCCCGGAAATAACCAGATTGATCAGCTGGGTGGCACAACAATGTAGTGGAGGCATCTCTAGCATCTCCTTATCGAATGATGTCTTCCTTCCTCACACGAGATGTCGTTGACGGTCACGGAACTTGATCTGACTTGAATCAGCAGGAGAAAGAATCGAGGAGATGACGACTGAGGCTGACTGAAGCCCGAGGAAAGGGGCTCACTAGCGGGAACACGATGGTGATAGTCTCGCCTATGAACGGGAATTGCAGTTGGATCCAAACAACCGCCTATAGACGTCACCTGCACAAGTCTCACCATCACAACACAATCTGGCTAGAAACGGGACACAAAAAGTGGGTGCAAAAGAGTTGGGATTGAGGTCAAAAGGTCGTCTATACCGCTAAACCATTGGCAATCAACGCCTCAAACGCTTTGCTTCAAGGGTATCTCACAAACGATGAAAGCGCTTAGTGACGTGACGAGAGCTCGCCGGCTCTGTAAATATAGCCCATGCAGAAAATCAAACAGTACACAAAGTTGGCCTTCCGAGACAAGCTGTAAATCGTGACCCAAAGCTGACGAGAAGCTCTTGGGAGCGCCGCTTTGCCGCGCCTGAAGATCCAAATATGAGAAAAGTCTTGGAATTTTTCAATCCCGTGAGTGCCACTAGCCTTCAGCTTCAGTTGGTCTCAAACCCCGTGGGTTGCGGTGACTGACCGGCGATCGGCGTCTGTCGTTTCGCCCGGATGACACCCCCTTAAAGGTGTCGCAAGAAGCGACCACGGCTCGAGCACCCTACCGAAGGAGTTAGCGATCTGAACGCGTCAACGAGGTTGCGGGGATCGAACAGTCACACTGTGGATGTTAGCCAAGGCCCAAGAGATACCGTTCGTCAGAGGCGGTCTTACGAAAGTTGAGGTTGACCCCTCGTTGTGAACCAAGCAGTAGCCACCGCAGCAGCCTCTACAGAGCCTCTGTGTACGATCAATGCAATCGTGACACTGTTTTCTTGCCATCAGCTCGGGTCTCGTCGACGGAGAACTTGGGTCTAGAATCGCCACTTACATTGCTACCGCATTCCCAGCAGCTTTTTGCGATACGAGCCTAAGGTTGATAACCTGTGTTAGCATCATCGGGTTCCCGATCATGACGCATACTCTTCGCTAGATGACAGGAAGTCGAGGGGGACGAGGAAGGGGCGGACGATGAATAGCATTGTGGCATACACTTTGGAACAGGCCGGGCCAGACGGCAAAAGGATGTCCGACTCAGCCCAGCAACACCCTCTGCGCATCAATGACCTCGCCCATGATGCAGTCTGGGAAGCAGGCGCCATTTCGTACCTTAATCTTGGGCTGACTCTCGTGCTCTTGGTGCTGGACCCAAGCACCGCCGTCGGCGTCGACGACAATCACGTCGGTATCGGCCAGCTCGGTCACGGCGCTGGGTGTCTGGTAACATTCCTCGCACCACCACTTATTGCAGCCCGCGCAGTATCTCTCTCGCAGGCAGTCGATGCATCGAGCGACGAAGGACGTTTCCGATCCGGTGCAGAGCTGCGGTGCCGTTGCGGCCTTGACTGACGATGCTAGGAGAGGCGGAGGGGACAGGAGAGGACGTTGAATCGCCGGAGTCCCGCTGTGAACTGACATGCCTTCGGGTGCAGCACCGCAACCGGCACAGCCGCCCAGGGCGACTGTCGCCACGGCCCATTGCCGGGCTGAGGCCGGGGTTCTTACCTTGCCGTAAGCAGGCGAGTTCATATGGTGAGGCCCGGTGCAAGCAACTGCATCAAAGGCAATGATACCGTGGCAGTCGACCAGAGTGTTGGCCCACTCCTCGACCAGCGGACGTGAAATAATGCGGCCTTTCCTATAATACCAGTCCTCTTCCTCGCTTCGAAGAGATGATGTCAACGCCTGCTGCGACTTGGCATTCCACCCTGCGCTGATCTGCGCTGCGTGCGAGGCGGTGCCAGAGGATACACCGGGTGATGCGAATGAGGGCAGCGGAGTGTCCTTGGCACCGAAAACGTAGAGACCCTTCAGCCGGGGCATGCCCTCTGGCCGCGACGGTCTGCAGGCATATTGAAGAGATGCGCACAGCTTGCGCTCGTTCAGGTTCTTGACGCCGCGAATGGATAAGAGTCGCACGCTGTAGGATGGGTCGAGAATGATTTCGTGGCAGAGCTCAGCCGTCACGGACAAGCCGTCTAAGATCAGCGTCTGGACATCTTGGAGTATGTTCTGTCGGCGGATGCCTGAGAAGATGCCTCTCAGCGGACCGGAGTAAAAACTGGTGAGAATCGCGCGTTAGTCGAGTCGTTCTACCGCACCATGGTCGGCCCTCTCCGGCATCCCCACCGCGTCGAACTGGCCGCGACGCCAGGGGGGGGGGGGAGCATTGGGGAGATGAATGTCACCGACGGTGGTAGGAGGTGGAGTGGAGTGAGGTCGAGTGGACGCACTCATCTTCGGTCAGATTCTCATCAAGTTGGACATTACGCCAGACTTCACCACCGCGATCAATGCCGTCGATTTCAAACTGCGCCGCGCGTACGTGGATCAGATCAAGATGGCGGAATACGCCAGAGGTGTGTTTGATCAGTTCTCGGAATGCTCGGCTCGTGGAGGCAAGGCTCAGACGGTCATAAGCGGAGAGGTGAGGAGCTGTGTGGGCGAGGATGAGAGGATTGGACAGGAGATGGAGGAGATTGGTGACCGAATTCTGGTAAAGCGTGTAGGCGTCCTCGACGTCCTGGAGCATGTTAAGGCGAACGCGCGCGAAGGGTAGAAACGTGGGAGCAGAGACGAGGTATTACGCGACGGCCGTAAACCTCGAGGGTCTGCGGCGATCAGTCTGGAGGTTGAGAGGTGGTGAAGGTGCTGTTGTAAGACGGGAAAAGAGCGGTCGTAAGCGCAATCGCAATCGGAACTTGGTCAGACTGATGATGCTCACTGTTTACATGGGAAGATAAGAGCTTTCGGCTTGGTAAGGTAGAGATCTAGACTGCCAGACAAGAGACGTCTTGGGGCGGACGACATGTCGGTCTAAATATCTACAGCATCGAGCCCTGACTGGTACAGGAGAGACGATGGTGGGCTACGTAGTGCCTGGGCAAGACAAGAAACGTGGGAGTGTCTATCCTTAGCTTTGCGGTGAAGAGGTACCCCGTCACGCCGTCAAGCAAGGCGAGACAGGGAACTTTGGAAGCAATACCTACTGTGTAGATGTACATCGAGCAAGGGACCTTGGGGGTCAACCGCGCCGTACGTACAGTCAACAAGATGCGCCGAGAAATGCAGCACGGGCAGGCTAGAGCTGTGCAGGCTAGACCGGTCCAAGGTCCAAGTGGATGGTCGTCCAGATTGCCCACACACCCGCCCCGTGCCATCATCCACGTCCCATAGCTACCTACCCACGTCCCTCCCCTCCCATCCGGGCCTTCGCACCGTAGTGGCTGGCACAGAGCGAATAGCGGAGGGCAGGTAGAGACGCAAGAGTCACAAGTGTTCCCACTATCCACTTGTTGCTCGCCTTTGGCTTCCCCAGGAGCTTGCAGGGCAGGTATTATCGGCAGAAGGTGGTAGCGTGGGTGGTAGTGTAACCGTGTAGCATCCATCTGGGGTTGGCCCGGTTGGGTCGACCGTCGGACCCTGAAAGAGAAGATCGGCCGTGTCCAGTCAATGGAGCCATTTGTGGCAGATGGGGGGCAAAGAATAGTGCGGTTGAAACGGAAGAGCTTCAACCCGCCGCCTGGTGCGGTCTTGGCAACTGCAGAGCAACAGAGAAGGTCCGCTGCGCTGGCACCTTTGACATTGATGCTGAGAATCTCTCTAAAGTATCCGTCTGTCGCGTTTTGCTACTCGGTACCTTACTCCGTGCCAAGCATGCAGGCGTTTATGCGCCTTTGCTGACTTTGAGCGGGAGCTTGGGAACAGAGAGAGAGGGTGTGCGTAGAGTCAGGAAAGCCAATAAGGTACGGACCGAAATGTGAGGCACTGGATGGGGAGTGATGTGTATGGAAATTGCTTGAAGCTTGGGTGAAGGCCCGAAGGGTTGTGGAAAGGGGGTGGGGGAGGGTTGGGGGTGATGATCCAAGTAACGGTGTGTTGTTGAGTTCTGGTGCGGTGCGATGAGATGAGACGAGTTGATAGGCGTACCTACAATAAAGTATAATGCTCCATTAGGTCAGGTGTGTTGACATTCTTTCATCAAAAAAAGAGACACCGAAAACCGACACTGGAGATCTAACAATGTTGGATAGGTTGTCAAGACTTGATGGGGGTTGGGTCTTGAGTGAGCCCTGATGCGCATAACCGCCCTGTCTCGTCCGAGATAACCGGTAGGATCTGTAAAATGATTGCGCGACATTCGTACGGCTATAGAGAGACAAGAACAGGTCTCCCCGGTCACGCTGAGCATCATCCTATCGCTATGTACGGTCAAGTACGGATACAAGCGCAGTTTCTTGACTCCTTCATCAGGATGGCGCTCTCATCTCATTCCGCCCCATCAAGCTCCATCCCGCGCAAGAGAGAGGTCTGTGGAGTCCAAGCTCCAATGAAGGTTATCGAGCTGGGCATGTCTTGAAAGTGTTACATGACCAAATTAGCCGCTCCAACCGCTTAAACCTGCCATGACTGAGCGAGGATAGCTGGGCTGGCTGGTTAGGTGATTGTTGAAGCCCACCACCATCTGCACAACAGCACGACTGCCGCAGCGCAAGCTTGTTGCTGGTTCGCTGTTCGGTGTTCCTGGCCGAATCAAGTGCGAAAGCTTGGTTGGGGTTGGCTTTGCCGGAAATGGTGACTTTGATCCCATCCCCAAGGTTAACGAGCCATAGGTGAGAGGTACTTCAACCTCACATACCTAGGCTGCATACGGTACAGCTTCGCTTCGTGGGGTAATAACAAGATGCCAGTTGGACTGGTTCCGCTCCGCTGCTCTGCGCTGCCACTCTGGCAGTCTCACGGGTGGCCACACATTGTCCGTACAGGACTACACTCCTCCAGGCTCTAGTGGTGCCGCCTTCGACTTTTGGCTGTCAACCGCCGATAAGATGGCGCCGTAGCACAGCGGCACGTTCCTTGGCCGGCGCTCGACTCGAGCTGCTCATGTCATTGTGACCACTTTGCGTATCTCGGGTCATGGTGCCTCAGATTGGAGTTGCGACTCGCATCGGAGCGACTGTACGTGCACGCCTGTCCGTGCCTCTGCCTCGAGAGGTCCCATGTCTGCCTCATTGCTCGGTACGGAGTTGCGAGTTGCTGCAAAGACGTTGAATAGTGTCGAGCAAGCTGGGGAAACACAGGGAGCTGCGAGTCGCGAATATCCATACCAATTGTGTGCTCCGCACTCCGTACATAATTGGTAATTAATAGGTGGTAGGCTAGAGGGGGTTCCTATGCCTATTTTGGGTACTGTTTCGGCGCGCTGATCCGCTAGCCAGCCCTGCTCCGGGGGGCACGGAGTGACAGTCCGGAGTCGCGGAGTCGGGAGTTTTGGCCACATTTGTTTCTGTTGGTTTTGGTGAATGGGGAACCCAATAAATAGTAGAAGCATGAGGTGTCAAGGACTCAGGGTGTGTTGCAGTGGTTGAGCGCTCAGTGGTTCAAGTGTTTAGCGAGCTGGGATATAAGGCTTCTTGGCAGACGCACATCATGATTCAGCTTTATTTGGCATGATTGGTTGAGTGGTATTGATTTTATCTTGGTTTTCTGATTGCGCGTAGAGTATTGGTCAAGGGCGTGCGCAGAAGATTGTTGAACCGGCAATGTGCCAATGCCCATTGTCTCGCCTGCGTAAATTGAGAAGGTCTGAGAAGCTTCCCATTTGGACTCTTAGAGGCTTGGGGCCTTGGAGCAGTACCGTGAAGTGTGTTTAGTAAGCATTTCTTTCGTTTCCATTCTCGCGATCGTCGGGTCGCACCTTAGGTCGGCGGTCGGCCAAACTATCCCGGATCCGACTGTTCATCACACCTCCGTGTTGCTGACCTTAGGTAAGCAGCACAGTACCTAGGTACTCCGTACTTTGGTTGGAATGTGTAAGATATGTAATTGTGGCGCGAGCTGACCTGAATGGGTTTAGGGATATGTGGCGCAGATCTATGTACCTTAGGTTCCTCTCTCGGCTTTCTCCATTGCGGGAGGCGGCCCACATCATGTCGTCAGCGAGTCAACCTGGAGCTTGTTGATTTTACTTACTGTGGGTGGAATCTAGAAGAATCCAACCAGTCTGCTGATTCGTCCACACTGTCGCCATGATACTTCCCAAATGACAACACAAATCCTATCCTGGAATTTACTTGCTATACTTTCTACAGATGCCTACTCACGGCTTGGGCCACCTCGACTTCAATCCACCGGCCATGCCCAGACACAGCAACTCGATCAACAGCCCTCTGAGCAGATAACCGTTACCCCTCCACCCCACCTTACCCTTAGCGACGGCCGACGCGTCGAACAACAAGACCTACGATACCTTACTTAAGATTACCACCCTACTCTGACTTGGACGAGACTCCGCTACGCCAATATGGAGAACGAACAACCCGAGTTGAAGTGGTCTGCACCGTTTGCGGTCGTGCCTCCCATCAAATCTGCTTCGAGAGACTTGCGCGGCGACAAGATCCTGCTTCCTCAGTCCGCCCTCGAGCAACTGCTCGCAGCGTCTCCGAGACCACCCGCGCCCTCCAATTCGACCTTCACTTCCTACGACCCCTTCAATCCATACGCGCGACAGCAGCAGAGCCTCTACCAAGAGACCTCCCAGCAACTGCCGAACCCTTTAATGTTTCGCCTGGTCAATCAAAAGAACGGAAATACTGTATACGCTGGCATCCGCGAGTTTTCGGCCGAGGAAGGGGAAATTGCGCTGGGTCCATATCTCATGGATGCTTTAGGGCTACTCCCTACTGACTTTTCTGTCGATTCCCTCCCAAAAGAGCCATCTGAATCGACATCTGGCATGGTTCTCGATACTGAACCACGGTTGACGGTCTACGCCAAGCAACTACCCAAGGGCACCTACGTCCGGCTCAGACCCCTCGAAGCCGGCTATGATCCCGACGACTGGAAATCACTTCTCGAACGCCAGCTACGCGAAAGCTACACAACACTCACAAAGGAAACGGTCCTGTCTGTGCGCGGCGTCAAGGGCGAAGACTTCAAGTTCCTGGTCGATAAATTCTTGCCAGAAGGTGACGGCATTTGCGTGGTTGATACGGATCTGGAAGTGGACATTGAGGCTTTGAATGAGGAGCAGGCTCGCGAGACTATGCGCCAGATTATGGCCAAAGTTCAGCCTGGTGCTTCTAATGGAAGCTCAATAGGAGGCGAGATTGACGTGTGGAAGCCTGTCAACGGCCAGGTTTTGCAGGGGGAATACATCGATTACGAACTGCCCTCTTGGGATCGGACCCGGCCCTTGAAGATTGAACTTTCCAAACTCCCTCACCCTGATCGTATCGACTTGTTCGTCAGTCCGAGATCAGCACGACAGCGAGCACGACCGCGAGATTCAGAATATGTCTTTGGCAACTTCAATCCTGCTGAAGACGGCATCAAGTTCATCACTATACAACCCACAAATGTCGAAATGGAGAGTGCTGAAGAGCTTCTCATTTCAATCTATTGCTATCCGCTGATCGGCAACGATCAAGTCCCAAACCCAGCATCCTATCAACTCAGGGTCAGAGCTGAGGCGGGAGAAGCATCAAAAGATGTACCTTTTGGCTCGGAACCCGGGGACTCTAGGTCTCCAGACGAAGAGCAGTGTACGAATTGTCTGCAGTGGATTCCTCAGCGGACAATGGTCTTGCATCGGAACTTCTGTCTTCGGAATAATGTTACCTGTCCAAAGTGCAAACGTGTCTTCAAGAAGGGGTCGGATGAGTGGGAAACTCATTGGCACTGCGAGCATGACGATGCTTTTGGAGATTCGCTGGCGAGCAAGGCCAAACACGATGCCGTGCGTCACACTGAACAGCAGTGTCTTGGCTGCGAATACACTGCTTCATCCTTGGTGGAATTGGCGCTACACCGCACAAGTGTCTGTCCTGGCAAACTCATTCTTTGCCAGTTTTGTCACCTCGAGGTACCACAAGAGGGGGATCCATTCAATCCTTCGGCAGAAACAATCTTGTCTGGCTTGACTTCGCATGAGCTAGCAGACGGCGCGAGAACCACCGACTGCCACTTGTGTGGCAAGATCGTACGGATGCGAGATATGTCAGCTCATATGAAGCACCACGAGTTGGACAAAATCGCTCGAAAAAAACCCGAAATCTGCCGCAACATCAACTGTGGCCGCACCCTGCATGGCGTCGGATCTGCTGGAGTTGTTGGTGCCGGAACAGCAATGGGTCAGGGACCCGGTAACGATCTGGGTCTCTGCTCGCTGTGCTTCGGCCCCCTCTACGTCAGCATGCATGACCCAGAGGGCAAAGCGCTCCGGCGACGTATCGAGAGAAGATATCTCGGCCAGCTGATGACCGGTTGTGGTAAGAAGTGGTGTGGAAACGAGTGGTGCAAGTCAGGGAGGATCAACCTTGGACTTGATGCGAAGGGTGGCAGCGCGCAGGCCGCTCTTCCGCTCGTGAAGCCGCTCGTGCAAAGCATTCCCGAGATGAAAGAGCCCATGCACTTTTGCGTCGATGAGGCTTCACAACGACGGAGGAGATTAGCGGAAATGCTGGCGAGTGAGGGTGTATGGGACTTTGAATGGTGCATAGCGGCATGCGAAGCGAGCTCAGGAGATTTGGATAAAGCGCGAGAATGGCTGTCCAATTGGGCGCCTATGAAATGATTGAGAAGGCTAGCAGCATTGTTGGGGACACATCTAGGCGTATCCAAAGGCGTTAGCAGGTATAGAGCATCGTTGATACCACAGAATTGAAGAGGCAAAGGTGGGACTTGATTGTCGGCGTTGAGCAAGATGGTAGTATGGTTACAATTGCCCCCACATGAATTTTCAAACACGATTGACGATAAGCATGAAAATTGTGTCGCAAAAAGAAATATAATGATATTATGGAATGACTGGTGCTATTAATACAATTCCATATTCGATCCTAGTCTCCTGTTAGGCGGCTTGCAGATACAACCAAGAGGCCAACTGAACGCTTTAAAGAGGCTGGTATCCGGCTGTAGATTGACTGACATATGGCGGTCTTGCAAAATTAGCAAGCATCTCCTTTACTGTTTCTGATCAAAGTCTTACCTTAGGAAATTACGCGCGCCAACAATGGCTGCAGCTCCACCGGCGTAGATGCCGAGAAGCCTGCTCCAACCGGCGTTGCCGTAGGCTGATTGACCGACTGACAGCGCAATTAAGTCATAGACCAGACAGCCTCCCAAGATCCAATCACTAATGCTCGACAACAATCCGAACCCTACTCCGGTGAGAACCTTTACAGTGGTAGATGGCTGCTGGTGAACAAAGTATGCAACCGAACCGTTGTGTAGCAGGTCCAAGACGCCGATACCAGCAAAGGTTTTGGCAACGACGTGGGTAAGAACAGAGTTGACAGACTTTGTGTTCATGGGCGGAAGACGATTGAAGATGAAGTACAGTTGGGCAAGGCTATTAATGATGACGAAGATGTTTGCAACCTTCAGGTCAGATTTGTTCCAGAAGATCATCCATGCTTTTGAAGACAATCAGCACAACTCAAGAGGTAGACAGAGGAGTAAAGATTGCTACTCACTAGCAATACAGAAGTTTCCGACAGCGTAAAATGGGGCAAAGTCAACCATAGTGCCTATATCGGAGGCCATGGGCTCTACTTTGGGGTCTGCCTTGTATAGGCGATATAGCCAGGCAAGCTGGAAAAGTTGCTGAGGGAAGAAGAATCCAGCGATGAAGAAAGGCTGAGGCGACCAAAATGACAGGTTGGCGTCGTGAACATCCTTCATATTGGGAGTGCTAAGCATGCCATAGTTTTGAGCTGCAAAGTCGACAGCAAAGGATAGTGGAGCCAACCATTTGGCAGTAGACATTGAAACGCCCATGTTGTGGATTTCTGCTAGCAGTGCTGTACACGTAAATTTCGAATAGTTAGTTTGAAGAAGAAAAGTCCTGGTTCGTGAAGCTCACAAAGTTGAGGTCATGGAGATGGTCTTATTGGGTTGAGGAAGAACGGATTCCACCCATGACGCTTTCAATTGGAGTCGTACGTCAGTGGTAGTTAAGTGGTACAAAGCCTCGAGCTCGGGTACTACCACCTACCGATCTCCGACGTTCCGGCGATTTCATTAAAGTTACAAGCTCATGACGCGGACTCCCTAGTGATTCCACGTGCGACTGCCACTACTTTAGGGGAATTCTATACGTCATTGATTATCGGTAGCCCGGAGAACGCCGCCAGTCAAGATCCATATTCTTCCGCACGGAGCCCAGTCCGGGCCTCCACTTCTCACACCTACTCAAGAACTCGGATCGGATCCGACGCGGCGACAACTCATCTCTTGGTATAACTTCTATGTCTATGTGCCATCGGCTCTCAATTTTTCATTTCAATTTCCCATTGGAAAGTATATCTCTTCGGGTACGTTGACCGTATCTCCCGCACTGCGCTCCACGTCGCAGTCAAACTCCAGTCCAAGTTTTCGCAGATTGGCAATGCTATTGATGTCGCCTGTGAGACTGGTGCGTAGCGTCTCCTGTGGTGCCTCTCTTGCCTTGGACGAAGCCTTCCCGGGTCGACTCAATACACTCAAGGGATACCTCAGGGTCCTGCCTGTAGAACCTGACCCAATAGAGTAGTATCTTTCATGGCCGCTGCCATACTCCGACGTGAGTCGTTGTTTTCGTCTCGTTTGGCCAATTGTTTCGATGGCTCGTGGCAGCGTGTCGATGCTAGCTATACCAAATGGTTGGTATGAGCATGGCAACTTTTGGACCACCTTTCGTAAGGAAGGCACACATGAACAAACGATCAAGGTGCTAATCTCTGCTTCAGACCACAATATTGGGGTTGCTAGGTCATCTTTGACAATGTGTATCAGCTTTGATGATTAGTCTTGAAGAGGTAGATTGCTCACGTGTGTCGTCAATTCCCATCTCGGTGACGGAGTGCATGCGAATCACAGAAATAGCCACAACCCTAGAGATGGGTCAGAACATGTTCTCGAGTCCAGTTTCCTTCACGCAACTAGCGAAGCTCGAGGATCCATGTGGCACTCACAATAAACCCAATGACAACATGGCGATGAGGCCAAGTCTTTTGACCAGCGGCAGTTGCAACTTCCATAAAGTAGGAACTGGCTGTATGAATAAGATCAAGTCGGTGCAGAGATTGAATCCAAACTGATGTATTCTGCAGTCAGTTTGATATCTCGTTCAGTCACATACCGACGTCAGGGTCGAGACTAGACTTTTCACTTACGCCGCTCCACCATAGAACCGGGAGGTCAAGGCAAGTCCCTTCCATACCCACGGTCCAGGCTTTCGCAATCGGTTTACATTGGAATATTGGGATGAGGCTCTCTTCGATGGCCTGACCGCAAAGAAAGAGGATTATGGCCCTGTTCATCACCACGAGTCTTCGATCTGGTAGCATTCGTATGTAGAGAACAGCGAAGGACATTTTGGCGAGAGCCAGACCGTAGCTGTACGTTGCCGAAGTCGCGATAGTCAACTTTCTTCAAGTCAGCTACTATGGACTATTTTCAGGACCGCAGAGATGATGGATCACTTTGAGGAACTGCTCGTATTCTGAAACACTGACATCGTGGTGATGCCTGCCAAGTCCTGAATGAGCCGCTGCTCCTGCTGGTTAGCATTCGACAGCCGCACATGTCAAGTAAATTGCTAGGTGATAGTTAGGCGTTGACTCACAGATCATGGTCGCAGTGAACATGCCCATCGCGAAAACCTATAGAACAACACTTATCAACTTTCCTCTGCGCAGAGTAGGTCTGGTCGAATGGGTCTGGCGTACCCAGCTAGCGGTAATGAGAACTATACACGACTTAGTGATGTCGATCGAATCCTACTTTCTCACACGTCACATACCGTCATCGAGGCCGTAAGTTCTCAGACTTGTTCTAACAGCCATTCGTATCGAGACAACCAGTGTAGTGATACATATCATGGCTACTGTCGAACCAACGAGCGCTCCTACCATATTATCCGTCATGGTATGCGCTCCTATAGCGGCCAACAAGACTCTAATGTGCGCGACACATGCCCCGAATAATTCGAATTCTCAGGATTCCGAAAAGCTCGTGACGATAGTCGGTACTCTGGGCACTCTGCAGATAGTGATAAGTGACACTTTATGCCTGCAGAAACGAAAGAATCTGCGCCTCAGCCCATGATTCTAGGCGTGTCGAATGACTATGAGAGAAAGTTCTCACGCTGATAACGAAAATGTAGGTGAGAGGGCTCAAGAATATGATACGAGTGTACCATGGATCATACCTATGACAGGTAAATGCCATAAGAGGGTGCTGTCAACGTTACTTATGCATGGTAGTGGGCGGGTTGAGCTGCAACAAGCAGTATTCGGCCCGCGCGACATAAAATTGAGTTTTCCAAATCCCGCTATGAACTAGTCAGTTGCTCAGTCATGTTCAAGACATTATTTGGTAGGTAGGTCATCGCATGTGGATGATTTAAATCGAACAGGCTGCCTGCGTCAATGCATTGACCGTCGGAATCGAGTAAAAGCCAAAAGATGACTATGAAGGTGGCTGCCAGAATCAGGTGATTCGACGATGATAGTATTAACCTATTAGGTTTTGCTTGATCGCGGCCTTTGATCTTCGGGGTATGAATTGAGTCTAAGCAACTATTCTCCGGGAACATGCATGTAAAGGAACCCAATACCTTTTTCTCTGGGAGGGGAACATCAGACATTAACTCAAATAACAGAATCAGCTCTTGGAGAGAGTTCCACTCAAGCAACCCAAACGAAGCTTTTGCCTTTTGACTAAAAAGCGCGCTGAAGATGTGGTTCATTGAGTTCAGAGGAAGCAGCAGTACCCTGATACCTCGTCAACATGGGATCTCTTGGCACATCACCCACGTGCGAGGTGTAACGGTCTCTGGTCCAAACACATCGGGATTTCGGTTTTAAGCACAAGCTCGGAGTCAAACTTGAGGTAGCACCCAATAGGATCGCTCACGATGAATGTTTCTGCGTGGTTGAATGTGTGTATACGTGACTCGGACAAAGTTTGTCCATGCCCTCCCCTGCCCCTGACGTACCTATGTCGACAGTGAAGGTGTAGGATCCACTTGGGAATCATGAAACTGATGCCCTCGCGAACGGAGGAGACTAGATTGTGTGTTTCGCTTCATCAGCACGACAGAAACAAAAAGATCACCGGGCCGTAGCAACGCAACTATCGCCATCTCTATAATTTGAATTGCTTCGCTGGCCACAACTGTCAGCCTGAACCCACACTTCAGAAATTCTGATCCATTACCGCTAGCCCACGGCGGTCATTATGTCAAAGTTCAGAAAGTGTGTGGAATGACGTTAGGATCGGTGTCCGCGTTAACAATCTTTATCGGCTGAGACCGACTTCGAACGAGTAAGGAAGGTGATGAGCCTGACAATTGATGAATACGAGCGTAACAGAAAGGGGCGCTGCCAAAGCTCTAATGTAACATGGTACTTTACTCACTAATTGTTTGAATCGTGCTTGTCGGGAGAATCGTACGTATGAGATCAGATAAAAGCAGAACGTCCCTCTTCACTCTATAGGGAGTTGGGATCTTTTGCCTTGCAACTTTGTTGGAGTCATCTGGCAGAGACGAAATATCACGGAAAGACAACAAGCGGGAGGAGCATGGTAAGACTTGAAAAGAGAAGCCCGAACAGTCGAAAGCTATGAACTCAAGGCGTATTGACCTGTTGACGAGTGGGTGACTGTGACTTGAATATTACTTCAATGTTTGGGTTAGCCGGTATGCTGATTGGGTATAAACTTGCATCGCCAACGGCAAGATAACGCGAGTTGAGGGACGTTTTCTACACCATCGAAGTTATGCATATCAAAGGACTAATGCAGAGGCCAGTCGAAGTTTCATCGCTCTTCACGTTAAGCTCGTTGGGCGGAGGACATGTTGACAAGATAGCATCTATAGCAAGAATATTGTATGAATGATGGCTACAGCACTTAACAGTTCTCAAGCCCATTATCTAGCATCAATTCCCAAAATACAGTTTGCTTTTTGTAGGTCATGGAAGCTCACGGAACAAACGCTTATGATGCGAAATACGAGGAGTAGAGGGTTTGAATATCGCCTTTCACTTGACAATAAGGATATGAGACCGTGAAGCATCTCAACAGTGATGCTAAACTTTTGGAGATATTATTTGAATATACAAAAAATTGAAGATATTCTAATCACATTGGAATGAAATAAGCTTGTCTAGATTTGGTCCTAGCCGTCTCGTCCTCAAGGAGCGACATGACTCAACCAAGCGCTGCTAAGATCGGTGTAGAAACTTGCACCTCTCACCTTTGTTGGTGCTCCAGGTGTGGTTACGTTGCAGTTCTGGATCCAATTACCTTGGTTCTCAAGCTTCGTGGCGACGTATTGCTTGTAATCCTCCAGCCGACAAGAAGAACCAGGACCGCTGCTGCAAGTAGGTATCGGGTAGACAGCATCATTGAGACGAATGCGAATATATGTCGTATTCCAGGTGTCTTGGATTGGGGGCGATGGCTGCGTGCAGGTTGATCTTCTGTTCGTTGGATTCCGGCGGGCAACATTGGTGAAGTTGCCATGTGTAGCGTTTCTAGCCCCGGCACAGTTCAATCTCTCAAATGCAATAGTTCCCCGCATTGTTGTGAAGCGAGAGCTGACGAATTGACGGCCATCGTCCTTTTGCGTACTTGAAAGAGGCTGCTGCTTGTCAAATACCCCTGAGGCGGCCACTAACTGGTTGAGCTGTCCATCGTTGAGGAAGGAGACGAGAAGCTTTGGTAAATTGAAAGTGGTCCCATCTTTGCGCCTGCCGGTGACCGAAGGCCCCTGAACAAATATGTCCATC